CGGTGTCTGATCATTTTCTACATAATTGTAACTTTTAAGAACAGATGCTATTTCAATCAATCCTGTTTCTGTAACGATCGCTTTACATTCTCCTACTTAAAAAACAATTAGTTTTGGTTCGCTTCAGTTCTACTTTACGTTTTTAAGCAGTGGTTTGAAGTCTGTTTGGATCGATTTCAGTCTCTTGTTGTTAGTGCCGGTCGGTAGGGGTGTCAATTTACAGTTTATCTAATTTAAATTTAACTTTGCGAAAAGTTAATTTAATTTAAAATTAAATTTTTGGACTGAAAACTCATTTAAGAGCCATTGCACATAGACTATTTGAGCATATACGCGATCGAAATTATCAAATGTATTCATTGATGAATTCAGGTTTCTTTTTTTTATCATGCCAATTTATATCAAATGGAATTCTCTTATCTCTTATCTGTGTTAGAACAACTAAAATAAATATATTATACTAATTTCCATATTAAAATTAAATGTTTATGTGCAGAAAAAGATTTTTAATTGGTCGTATTTTTTTCTTACCTATTTCATAGAGTGCAATAAAAAGATGAATTTCAATACCATCTTACATAGAAAACATTACTTTTGGCACTGTATGAATCTATCTTTTACTTTTTTCCGATCTCCGAAGACATTTACTCACGTTTCTGTGATCGTCAATAGAGGTCACACACTGTTAATCGATGATAAATATCCTCAGTCGTGAATGGATCGAATGATTGTAACGAATAAGAATCAATCATAAATGTTTAACCATGAAGACATCATTGATCTTATGATCTTATATTTCAAAAACGAATAATTCTCTTTCATCAATGGTTAAAGCACCGCCTGATCATACTCCGAAGGCTGTCGATAGCCAAGATTCATCTTCATTTGAATCAATGATGCCAATAACATCACCAAATCAATTGCCAATACATTCAATGCGCAAAAAAATTATTCAAACAGTATTTACTAATGATTGTTGTATATTCTTAGGCGAAACAGGTTGTGGTAAAACAACACAGATACCACGTTTTCTCTATGAAGCTCGTGAGAAAAAATTCAAGAGTGTTCTAAATAAAAAGCCTCATCGAAATAAAAATTTAATCTGCTGTACACAACCACGACGTGTTGCTGCTATATCAGTTGCTGAACGTGTTGCTAGTGAAGTAAATCAAAAATGTGGTCAACTTGTTGGCTACAGCGTCCGTTTTGATGAAGCTGTTACTCGTCAAACAAAAATAAAATATATGACTGATGGTATGTTACTACGTGAAGCGTTACTTGATCCAAATCTTCGTCAATATTCGATTATTATTCTTGATGAAGCACACGAACGTACATTACATACAGATCTCTTATTTGGAATTGTTAAACAAGCATTAGAATATCGAAAAAAATCAAAGAAAAATCCATTACATATTCTTGTTATGTCAGCAACAATGAATGTCGATTTATTCTCAAATTATTTTAATAAAGCACCAGTTTTATATTTACAAGGTCGACAATATCCTATAGATGTTTTTCATGTACAAGAGAGCCAAACAGATTATATACATGCATCACTGATTACATTATTTCAAGTAAAACAAAAGAGTAAAACTATTTCTTTCTGTTTTTGATAATATTCTTCATTGTAGATTCACCGTTCAAAACCATTAAATGAAGGAATACTAATATTTCTTACGGGACAAGATGAAATTGATTCTACATGTAAAACTATTAAACATATTGTTGCTAGTGGAACGGAATCACTTGAACCCATTCTTGTCTTACCATTGTATGCAAATATGACAACAATGAAACAAATGCTTGTTTTCAAACAAACACCTATGAGTAAGAATAGAGTTAATTTCCTAACATTTTCATCTAATCAAAAGATAATATCTCTTCTATCAATGTAGCATATGAAAAATGCATTTTGAATAAACTATTTTCAATGTTATCTTCTTTATTTTTCCAACGGAAGTTTTGCTATTTTCCAAAATAGTTCTATTTTTTTTTACATTCGAGTCAATTTAAGAACTCATTTTGTTACCATTTTTTGATCGTAAAATAAACTCTCGAACGGTAACTAGACTGTCTAATCAATCCATGTTCTTGTGCTAATCATTTTATTCAACTAAATAGTATTAGAATATAAGTTCAAATAATATTTTGAGATTAAGTTGAAAATCTTTGCTGTTCACATATACTTTCACTTAAATTGCAAACGTTTTACAGTTTCTTATCTAAATCATTCATATTATACACACAAAAAATAACAAACTTTTGTTTAGATATTCGTAAAGTAATAGTTTCGACTAATATCGGCGAAACATCAATTACAATCCCTGGTATTCGTCATGTTATTGATTGCGGTTGTGTTAAAATCAAAACATTTAATCCGCAAACTGGTTTAGAACTATTACAAGTACAGAAAATCTCACAAGCACAAGCCTGGCAACGTACCGGACGTGCTGGACGTGAATGTCCAGGAGCATGTTACCGCATGTATACAGGTAAGACACTTGACAAAAATGAAATTTCTCCTGTTACTAAAAAGAAGGTTTTAGTTAGAGAAAATCTATCGAAATAGGCAATTTGATCACGGTATTCTACTTGCGACATAGAATAATTCAATATAATTATTTTCATTGAAGTCTGTTCAATAACAAGACTTTAAATTCGGATTTTAATAGTCACTCGAAAATTATGAGTTCAATTTCGTTGTTTCAACTACTCCGTAGAAGTCTCAAATATTTATGACGGTGATCTCGTAGAAATTCAATAATGATTGGTTCTTACGTTAAGATTAAGAGTATTGTTTGGTGAGATAATCTGGGACCTATCACGACTACTTCCAATTATATTCAGACGCAATTGATTGAAAATCAACTGGAATAGTTCTTAAGCAGAATTTTTAATATACCGTTTGATTCTTTTGTTTTTAGAAGAAGAATATGAAAAATTAGCACCAACACCTATACCTGAATTACTTCGATGTAATTTAGCGACTGCTGCATTACAAATTCTAGCTATGGGAATCACAAACATCTCAAATTTTGATTTTGTTTCTAAACCCGATGAAAAATCTATAGCAGCAGCGTTACGCGAATTGATATATCTTCGTGCAGTACAAGCATCGAACGATAATACATATGAATTAACAGATGACGGTCGAAAAATGGCTTGTTTCCCACTTGATCCAAAGTAAGATAAATATTTGTTTTGGTTAAATGGCAAATATCATGTTTATATAAGTTTTTTTTTCTTGCTCAGGCTCTCACGTTGCTTATTAGCTTCATCAGATCTCGGTTGTTTAGAAGAAATGCTTAAATTAGTCAGTATAATGAGTGTTGATACAATATTTCTTACATCATCGAACATCAATGAAAAAATGAAAATGCAAAGACAAAAATTTACCATGAATGAAGGCGATCATTTAACATTATTAAATGTCTACAAGACTTTCATTGCTAATAAAAAAACAAAAGTTAACATTTGATTTTATCTTCTCTCATGACTATTAACAATATTTAATCTATAGGAATGGTGTCAAATGAATAAAATCAATCGACGAAATTTACTACGTGCATGTGCAATACGAAAACAATTAAGACGGATCTGCGTTGAATTACAATTAAATATTAAATCTTGTGGAACTAAATTTAGTTCAGTTCGGTAATATGCTTTTGACAATACGAAGGAAAGTTCTCTAAAATACTGCATGGTGAAATTTTCAGTGCAATACAAGTTTTAAGAAAATTTTGCACTATTTTTTAATTTCTGATTTGATGAGAAGGGCAGTTATTATATACACCATTCACTAATTTATCGAGGGAAAGTATATCGTTTTTTTTGTGGAAGAATCTAGGCATATTCAGAAAGAATTCAAGGTCAATATTATACATTATCCGACATACAGGTGTTTTTATTCTATTGTTCTATGAAAATTTGGATTTATTGTAGACAAGCACTTGCTCATGGCCTATTTATGAATGTAGCTGAATATTTCAAAGAAAACGATTATCGAACAGTGAGTTGCGACAAAATTTATAAGCAACAAAAAATAATGAATTCATGTCTTATTTAGATAAATGATCGTCATATTGTAAAAATTCATCCAAGTTCAGTATTATTTGGTGCTAAACCTTCATTGGTTGTTTTCACTGAATTAATTCAAACAACTAAACGATTTATTAGGTAACAATTTTTTTCTATGCATTCATTGACTTTTTACTAAATCGTGAATATTTTTTTCCAGAGATATAACAGTAGTTGAACCAGAATGGCTGCTAGAAAGTAATCCCGATTACTTTAAAACGCGTCTTTCGTCTAAGTAGCTGTTTTTGTTCTTATATAACAAATCGGTGACGGATTTGTGATTTTGTTTATTAGTTAAAAAGAAAATAAAAAAAGAACGATTAGAAAAAGAAATCGTTGTCTTTCTAATAATCATTTTGTTTCTAAGGTAATTAATTCTTTATCATGAACACCTTGTAAAAGTAATTCTGATGAATAGCTAATTACTTTTCGACGTTTAGCAGCTTTTAATGTTCCAGCTAAACTTTCAAATGTATTTTGAACTTCATCACTACGAAATAAATCACCAAATGTTGTTTCATATTTGCCAGTGGATGAATTTTGTTTACCAATAGAACGAATAAAATTAACTAATAATGATATTTCATGTTCGACTTGAGCTGTATTAGCCATCTTTGCAAGAAGAATATGCTGATAGCAAAAAAGATAACCACTTATTGTATTGTATTGTATTGTAGTGCTAGTTGTATTCATTCATTGTTAGTCAGGACTAGCCAGTATATCAAATGTCATTACACATCTCATGATGTCGCTTTCAGTCAATGAACTTAAAATATTCGGGCTAGCTTCTACTAACAAAAACAAAGACGAAACGCTTGTATTTATCTACTAGAAAAAAACGTTTATCATCACAGATTTATCACGCCGATAAATTCTAGGGTACTATTTTATTTTCAGATTACTTGCAACAGCTAGTGAGAATCCATGCCAAACTTTCGAAAGATGTGATTTCAAAACAAAAATATTTAGGGGCGTGGTTGTGGTCGAATGATGAGAAGATCCACACGCTCAAATAGAGTTTTCGAAGCTTCGAAGAAAGACGAGAAACATCGATGAAGATTGAGCATTGAGAAGTTTGTCGATTTTTATTTTTCACACTAAGTAATTCTTTTTGGAAGTATAATCATGTGATATACATGAGCAATTGCATAGCTACTTTTTTTTTACAAGACTAAAATGAATCATACGTCGATTGTCTAATAGAAATCTCTCGTATTTGCAATGTCGATGCTTTTAAAATAAGTACACTCGATAGATCTATGGTAACACATCTAGTTCCTTTGAAACCCATAAGTAGCATTGCAAGTAACAGTATGTGAATTTCACATATTCCCAAGCAGGTAAATGACTTTTCTATATTGACGATTTTGAAATTATTTACTATTCAATCAGTTGCTTTGCCTGTACAGATTTTATCTTAAATACAATGTTGTCTAATATTTGACTTAGCGGAGACTCAAAAAACAACAACAACAACAACAATGTGATAGTATTGACGTTAATTCTCCTTCGAAACATTTTGTTGTTCAACAGACATGTTATGATACTTGACATTTATAAGAACTGAAAATGCTTCTTGCACTTATTTTACTAACTGATGATCTAATTATTACGATAATAATAATCATAACTATTAATCTAGAAAATGAGTAAAAATGATTGATGAGCCTGTGAAAAAATAGCATTGAATAAAACTTCATAAATTACTCTTGTTTTTATTTCATTTACCAGTCGAAAATAGATAGAAAATATTTGAGTCTCTATTTCATCGTATGAAACAGAAATTACTCATTAACAGCTAAATATTGTTAGTTATTATATTTTTGTTTTTCTTATTTCTTGACTACGTTTACAGATCCCAATAATGATATCGAGAATAATACTTTTCCATTTGATTTCCGTATAATCGGTACGAATTCAAATCAAACCTCGATTATTCTCGATATCTTGCCCCGATGTTTTAGGACTTTATTCGAGATCTCATCATCGTCGGCAGATGTTTTCGATAAAATATGGTTTAAATACTCGACTACTAATTCGAGCCTTTTCTTAGATTCTTGAATCACACGAGGTACGAGAATATCAACATGACATGGTGCATGCATCGGTGAATTTTGCTTTTCTTTTTGAACAGCAAGGAAATGTAAGCGTAGCATTGTTTGTTCGTTGATATCCACCAATTCAGCCTGGCTAAATATGAGTCCATTTGGACGAAGAATAACAACAAAAAGTTCATCGATGAGTATGCCAGTTTTATAGAAAACGATTCGACCTCTCGTACAACTGCAAGTAATAAACTGTTTGAATCGTCTCCATCGACCATAACATCGCCAAACAACTGGAAAAATCAAACGTTGATTTCTATATATATATTCCATATAACTAAAAGCAAATGAGAATAACTTGATTCTTTCTCAAACTCAATAAGACGACTGCTGAAGATTTTGCTGAATATTATATTTTTGGTAGTACAACGATATGAAAAGTTAGATGTTCATATTTTTTAAACATAATGAAGTTTTTGAGAGCATTAACTTCTTGAACAAGGGGAAAACGGCGGATTGCGTATTTCTGGGATTTCCAGTATTTTTTTCATATTTTGTGGATAGCCACAAGATTTCCAGTAGGTTTTGGAAGTTTTTTGTATTTCTCGGATTTCCATGGTATTTCAGGGATTTTTTTTTCTACTTTAAAGGTTTTGCACAGAAGGTTATAAAGAAAGACAGCAGGTTAACCAACAGTAAAAATAAAATCTGTTGTCGTCAGTTAGCGAGACACGTCACTTGTTATACTGGGTATCAAGCCAACTGGGACTTCAGAGAATGTTAGTTTATCGTATTTTATTGGAAAAAAAAGAACAAAAACCATTTACCTACCTATACAATTCAATATACTACTTCGTCAAGTATTTACTAATTTCCTTGTTGCACTCGTTTAACTCGATCAGCTGATAGAGATGCTTTCTCATCGGTTAAAAGCCAACAAGCAGTCTGTTTATGAATGAACTTTTTTTCCCGTCAATTTCAACACAAAAATAAGATTTCGATTGAGAAGGAATATTATCGTATACTCTCATTCCATGAAAATGAGTCTTTCCACTAGCTGAAACAGAGGATAGATTATCTTCATCATCAGCTGTATCTTCTTCCTCTACATTCACAGACGGATCAATTTTATACATATAATCATTTTCATCACCAGATGAATGTGTTTCAATATCATCATATGAGACTTTTTAAAACTTTTTGGTGAACTGTGTTCGCACAAACGAGCTCACTTGAGAAATCGTAATTTTTTTCTTTTTTCGTAGAGCACTATTGATTTCAACTGTAGAAAGAAGATTATATGCATCATCAAATGCTCGATAAACAGCTTTTTGAATGTTGCCAATCGTAAGATGATTCATAGATTAACCAGAAATTTTTTGTTTTTTCAAAATAGTTCGTTTTCATTGTCGTTTATGATGTTTAGGAAACTTAAGTGGACATTTTAACTGACCATACTCACTTTGGTTTTCTATTTCTGTTAGAACCGAAAGTTTACCCGCTCGCTTTAGGAATTGTTCAATAGTAAAATTCATTATTGATGAAAAGGCACCTGACATCGATCTGGTAAGCCGAAATGTAGATTCCCATAATAGTATACTATAATTAACAAGAAACCAAAAAACAATGGTCTATATATGATGTTTTAAATCAAATTGTTACTGCAGACTATTATTCAATAAATGCGTTAAATCTTCATCCATCATTAAAAGTAGTCATGTTTTAGACTAATTATAGCAACAAGGATTAAAAAATGCACTCATCATTATTGAGCGACGTCAAATAAATGGTTGTTCTGATTCGTTTATAATGAGGAAGTTATTGAACGATATATCGATAAGTATTTGCAATTCTGGCAAGTTCTCTATTGCACATACATTTTGTAAATTATTTTGCAATTTATTCCTTATTATAATTCAGATCTAGTACTTTTGCATTAAAGGTATCAGATCAACCAGATAGCCACATATACAATTCTTAAATCTTTTGTCTTTATACATGTTGTCATAAGGTATTTTACATTCTAGCTTAGACAATATCATGTAAGATTTTTATGCTTTACACATACTGTATTTAACAAAAGCGACATTTGGCAGTGAGATATACAAAAATATGACTGCATCGATATCGAACAAACAATATATTCGTCGTGTCTGTCTGACTGAAAATAATGGATTTCTCAGATTTTTTTCGTCTTTCAGGGATTTTTTATGTAGTTTTCGTATTTCATATGGATTTCACGGGATTGGCAATCCCAAAAACCCGCCGTTTCCCCCTTGTTCTTGAATCTCATGAAGTTACTTCAATTTCTCTATGTTGTTTGATGAAAAATACAGAAAGAAGTATTTTAATTTATCATTTTATGAATTCGATTAAAGAAAGACTTTAAAAAAAATTAGCGCCACTGTTTTAGATTAATACAATTACCTATTCCATTCGTCAACATTGTATTCCCATTCGACTAATTTTGAATAGGAATCGAAGGTAGAAATTGCCAATCTGATTTGACTCATTTTGTCTATATTGTACCACATAGACCAACGACTGAGAGCTAATATGGATGTATTAACAACAATACCAATAACTATTATCAAGAGCCAATCGACAATACCAATTTGACATAGAATAAAACCTTGAATAACACTACTGGTAAATAGCACAGTAGTAGTCAAAATCAGCAATATGTAGACTAATATTACAATGACCACTACAAAAGTACTTCTTCGTTCTATGATTGGCGAAGGCTTATTTAAGTTTGAAAACGTCATTTTGTCCTATACTTTATCTTGTTTTCAAATAGTTAATATTAAAATAGCATCTATGTATGTGATTTTTCTTCTATCTATCGATGTGTGTTGGATGACACATACGTATGATTAATAATATTTTCCTCTCCAATTCTGTGTAAAGTGTGCTTTGCAATAGCTATTTGATTGGTAAGTGAAGAAATAGGAAAAATGAATGTTTTACACGTGCTGCTACGGGCTCTAATTGAAACGACTTGCATTTATTTGAGCAATAAAAATATTGGAATGAGCAATAATTAAAGTGCTATTTAACAATAATTTTTGAGCAATAAAAAAACTTTATTTGAACAATTTTATAATATAAAATGTGCAATAAATAACTCATTAAAAAGCAGCAATAATATCATATTGTAACAATAGAAAAAAGAAAAACCATATCAGTATTTTTTACCATTGTAAATAAAAATAACATAGAAAATGAAATAGATCATTGTCAATGAAAGGTTTTTTGCCTTCGATGGCCAGCCTCCTTTTTTTGCGCCGATTTCCACATCTTTTGCCTCTGTTAGGTGTGCGTGTGGGTAGGAATTAAGAGAAAAACTGCACCCCATACTAGAGAATATTGGGTTAAAAAAAATGTATGGACCCGGACCCGAACGTGTATCCGACCGATTAAAGTGTTTTGGATAAAACGAGTGAAAATTAAAAAAAAATTGATAACTTATTATTATATGGATCACATTTTTCTGTCAATGGACATTGGACCAATAAAATTTTCAGGCCCAGACTCAAACCCATTGTCGTCTATTTTGGTTTTTTGCCTTTTTAAACCTATTCACTGTTTATTAGAAGAATGCAGATCCATATCGCTGCCTTCTTCGCAATCAGAAATATATTGCGCTATGCGTTGTGATTAAGCAATTTGTATAAATTATATAATCTATTTAAAAAAATGTCTATTTTTGCAAAAAAAGGTCAATCCGTATTGCACTTTTAGTATACAAGTTATCTCTAATCTGGATTAATTATCTCACATCCAATATCTTTATTGCTCATTTACTATAGTTAATGCTCAATTAAATACAAGTCAATTGAAACCTGTATAACCAGGTGAATCAAATTATTGACAAAGCACTACGTATGATTGGTAATAAAACAATGTAAAGCAAGTTACTGACGATTCCTTAATGTCAACATATAGCCGGAAATAATTTGATGTCCCAACAAAACCTATTGATTGGACGGGTAGACGCTGTCATAAAGGCCTTATTTTTGAGTATCTAGATATCACCTGATCGTTGTACATAATAGTAATAGTCGTCAAATTTGCTGTTTAGTAAAAGCAAAAAAATATTCAAGCTAAAAATCACAGTTGTTATCTGATGCTTTGAGATATATCACAGGCGCACTGTTGCGAGAGTGAATAATGACACTTATTGATAGGTTAGTGATCGAGTCCAATCATACGTAAATGAAAACATAAAGGCTCGAGGCTCTAACGCCAGCTATGTACAATTGGAAAAAAGCAGAATTTAGATTGAGGTTTGAATCAATAGTTTTCACAAATTTTAATTATTGTTTATTGTAATTTCATTGACATTGTAGTATGAATAACTAATGAATTTCCAAAATAATTTATTTAGACAAGTGTATAGTCTGTGACTTCCATTACTGAGTCGTCAGGAAGAATTATTCAAAATGTGCTAAGCTTTGTCGCCTAGTTGATGACATCGTTTATCTCAGCCAAGAGTAGTATAGACATTAGGGAAACGAAGCCTAGGTATTTCAAAAAATCTTTGGATTTTTTTCTATTTAACTATGTAATTAAAAATCATTTGAATTTCTCAAGTAAACACACAGTCTTTGTGATCATAATCGATAGATATTGAACTTGAAAAATATTGTGACTAAGGTGAAAATGACCTCATGTTTTTTAAGCATTCAGATGAGCTAGTCTTTTTTTTATAATAAAACTGGATAGTTCTCCTTGTAGTTGCCAGCTGTCAGGTTTGAGCCCGCCTTTGGCAACGAAAACTGAGGAAATCTTCTTTTTAGACAGGTGCAAAAATATTTCCTCCACAAAGCATTGCCAAACAAAACAAAATCCATTAGAAGCCCATATTACTAGTGTCTACGCAGTAACGGCTTTAAGTTATCTGTAAATTAATGAATTTATCTTAAAGCTTGAATTTGATGGATGAGTTAGTTGTGCCGAAAATAAGTTCCCGTTTTCTTTAACTTCAAGAAAAATTAATGCCATGTCTACTGAATGTGAACTGATTGAGAACTCTACTGTTTTGAATAGCATATGGTTCTTCTATTATTGGAAACACTTCTTCTCACTCTGATCTCATTGCAACCGATCTTATTTCTAAGCAAAATAACAGCCTATGTTTTTAGTTAATCTTATAAATTGAAAATAGTGATTATATATATGTCGCAGGAGAAATTAAAATTTTAATTTTTACTGGATTTTTTCAAGGAAAACTTAAAATTTTAGTTTCTCCTAGGAGAAATTAAAATTTTAATTTGTCCTATAGGAGAATTTTAAATATTCCTTAATATATAAGAGTGTCAACTTCATATCTTTATTTCTCCTATAGGAAAAACTAAAATATCTTTTACCGCCAATGGAATCGATAAAAAATCAAAATGAAAGAAAAATGTACACCTAAATAAACGTCGCATATATCATTTAAGTGGATATTTGCTCTCTTATTTTCATGGAAGAATTTTATAAATCACTTGATAAACATATTGAAAGTTTAAATTACAAATTTCAAGACAATTTTTCTATAAAAAAGTTATTATATGATGAAGCCTATAAAGCCTATGTGAGCGCAGGATTAATTACTCCTACTGAAGCATGTAACTGTAATGGCAAGTGTTCAACAAAGAAACGTCGTTGTCGAGCAGCAAAAGTACAATGTGGTACTAAATGCCATTCAGCAAAAACGAAACCGTGTTGAAATGTCTAGTTTAATTTTTGTATTTTTTAAACATAAAAGTAATAAAGTTGATATTTTTATATTCAGGAAAATTGAAATTTTAGTTTATTCTAGGAGAAACTAAAATTTTAATTTCTCCTGCGACATATGTATATGTATAAATGAAACCATTTTTATGTTGCTGTGCACGTGCCGATCTCTATATAGACTGTAGTTACTAGAAAATAAATTATTAGATTGTTCTGTTCATGATAAGAAAACTAAATATTTACTAAAATAATTGTGCGTGTCATAATAGTTTATTTGTTTTATGTATGAAAAATGACTCGTACAAAAAAATGAACTTAGAGCCTTTGCGATCTTCTGTTTCCCATTCAATTATTCTACACATATTTCATACTTATTCTGCATTCATAATAACGATAAATGATACTTCTATTATCTTTAATTTACTCGAAGAAGATCACCTTTCCTTAGTCGATTTATTTGTCTATAGAATGTTTGTATATTAAAGTTCTTTCTTGATCTATTACATTTGAGATGACTTTCACGGAAGAAAATATTTATAATTGCTACGAACTAAACCGTCCAACATGCTTGTTAATATATGAACAGAGTGAAAAATTCGTGAGTATGCTAATTGATTATCTTTGAACGTCACTCAAGTGCCGAGGGAAATTTTATTAAAAGAGCTCTACAACAGAATTAATCAATTCTATCGGTCTTACTATTCATATGGCTTAGTAGATTCCCTGAGGTTCATCAGATATTGCTAGTACATGCAACCATTGATTGTAACACAAGCGTACTATATTTATTTATCACTTCAAAACATGAGAATCATATTCATACTGAAAAATGCAATGCAATAGCAGGATCGTTTTTGTTTTGTTTATGTCTACTCACTGATAAAATTGTCTTATTTAATCTATAGAAAAAAAAATAAAAAATAGCCTCATATATTAATCGAAATGCTGAAAAATCCTGAATCAAATAATAGACACCAAGCAAATAACTTTTATCATGAGTGTTTAATGATATTCGATTATTTCTTTTTTGCCTTTGCTACTTGTTCAACAGGCGAGCTCAATCTTCCGATTTCTGTCTTTTTTTTATTATGTTAGCTGTATTATCGCCTTTTCTTAATGGCATGTCAAGTCTTTCTCTTCTACATCACGCTCTGTCGTATTTTATTAATCGAAATCTAATATAAAACTTGTTCAGCGATAGGAAATATTAGTGTAAATGCTTCATAGCCAACGCCATATGTATACATAGATAATTTTTCATGTGATGGAATTTCTTTTCCATTGGTATGAAATTCAATTAATTCAACAAGCGGTCGAAACCATCCACTGCATGACGGTGTTATTTTTAAATACATATTTTTATCATTTTGTTCTTCAAGCGGTATTTGAAATAATGTTCGAAAACTTGATGGTATTAATGCACTACTAACAGGAATACAATAGAGTCTTGGTCGAACTCGAATCGTACAAAAAGGTTCATCACTTTCAGGCAAGAAAATCTTTACACAAGTATCATTATCAGTCCAGCAAAATCGAGCCAATTTTTTTGGTACATTCCAATTGCGTCGACCATTTACTACTGAGTCTATAGATGAGACATAAATTTGTGAAATACGATAATAATTTGCATCCCGAAATTGATAATAGCCAGGGATAAATAATAATTCATCATAAGGACCTACTGGTGAATCTGTATAACGTACGAGTAGCATTCCACCCATACCTCCGGAAAATGGACTTCGAATAGGATCAGGATTCTCATTAAATGACTCTTGGATGGGTCGTGATCCATGAATAAATAGATAAGCTTTTGAACCATTTATACTCCATGGAGCAGGAGCAACTTTAATATTATTAGCATCATTCATCACAGCTCTTATTTACTGATAAACGCGTGCTCTTTATCTATCATTACTTGATAAGCAGTATTTTTGTATTCAACCATTGAATAAAACTACTGTCCACCTTTTGAAAGCAAAAGATTAAAATAATAAACTCAAAAGCAAGGTACTTGACAAGCATGTGCTGCCATCATCAGAGTATATGTGCCACTTAATCATCCTAACGGAGTAAAGATAAAGGATAATCTTAAAAGAGTAGAAGGTAAATAAAAAATAATAATGTGCAACCTACTCGTTTGTTTATTAATGGAGTCTCCCAAAAAAGTGAGAGATTGTAAAAATATGTGCAAAATCGATGTTACTCTATGAAGAAAACAGTACCTCCAAACGAACCAAAAGTGAAGAGCAGGGGGTGGGGCACATGGTTTTCGAGAATCAATATGGAATGGGGGTAAGAAATTATAATTTTGTTTTAGATGAATGAATCATTATATAAATTTCAAATGTTTTCATGAAAAACTTCCTCGAAATATATAGGTGTTGGTTTTTTTATGCAATGAATAATTTATGGATTCATAGAGATCTTTACAACGATCCTATATCACTTGCTCGTTGTCGTGATTACTTTTGAAGAAATTTATCAAAGACTACGAATTTAGCATGAATTTTACTATCGTAAAATCAATTGCATCTGTCGAATATTCCTTTAGTAAAAAAATTGAATTGCACAATTAAGCACATTTGTGTATAAAATTATTTATTTTTGAAATCTAGTTTATATAGAAAAGAAAATTCAAACAACAAACATGGTATCATTATTTTTAATTCTTGAACTAATTGGTATACAACTATACTAGCAAAAATATTCATATAAATATAATAACGCTTGAACAATTGATACTTATAAAAAAAACATTATTATTTGAGATCAATTTTACACAAAAACATTCTTAATATACTAATGTCAAGCAAAAAAACGTAAACACAACTACCATAGCCAACAACATGCTAATGTTACCATAGATGCACCGTGAAAATTTTACTAAGCATGAATAACAAAAGATTTTTAAAAAATCATTAAAAAGCGGAATTGATTAAATATTTTACTGCCACAAGAAATATATACTATCCACCACTTGAATTTTCCTTAGCAGAGGTGGAAGGGATGAGAACTAAGAATAGCGTATCTAGGGTTCTATAGTTTTGATTGACGCGGCTGACGGCAGTTGCAGAATGCCTGCCAAACAGAATTCAGAATTTTGTAGACTTTTATATTTTTTTACAAGGAAATGCGCACATTATGCATAATAAAAATATAGAAAATTCTATTATATTAAGAAGAATGTATATAGAATGAGGTAAAGTGATGATTGAGTGAAAGAATTCTAATACGATTCATTTATATTTTGAACAGCCCACATGTAAACAGGCAACGTTCATCGAGAGTCGATTCGATTTACCTTAGATAAAGGGAACGGTCTAAAAATTTTAATTAACCTGGCTGCACTCTCTCTCTCTCTCTCTCTCTCTCTCTCTGTGTGTGTATCACAGTACCTATATGATATCTATGGCACAAAGGACCGCATATAAGACCTATAGAATCAAAGATGTGCCGCGAAGGAGTCAAAGCTGCCGCGAAGGAGTCAAAGCTGCCACGAATGATAATACACACTAAATAAAAAGCGTTTCCCCAGAGACCGAAATTCCTTTGGAAACTCTTTCGGAAACTCACAAACGTATCCGGAAAGGTTTTCGGCTCTAAGCTGAGTTTTTGAAATCACCTTATAGGTTTCCGAGTTCCCCGGAACGATTCGATTTTCGAAAATTCGGATAGGAAACCTTTAACGGTTCTCTCAGCAACCATCAAACAATTTTTGAAACCGAAAAATTATCCTCGGAAACCGTTCTTGCTTTGAAAACCTTCTCGGAAACTTAAAGCGTGTCATCAGTAACCTATCGATTTTCGACAACTTTTTTTTCGGGAACCTTTTGGATTTCTGGGGATCGGAAACGCTGAAAGCGGATGCCAGAATACTAGCTTGGTTTCCGAACAAATCTCGAAAACCCTTTCAGATTTCCAAATTATTAGAAACCTATGAATTTCCGAGAAAATTTCTCGGAAACCCATTAAACATAGTGGAAAGTCGAACTAGTATTAAAAATTCATCTTTCTCATTTTCACGTTGCCAATGTATAATTTGCACTTTTAGGAGTTAACTAAATTTACCATTAGAATTTTTGTTTAATCTTAAAGTTTATTATTTAGATTTTTTCAAAACGATTGAAACTTAAAATTAAGTTCGAAAGAAAAATTTCGTTTGATTTAAAGTTGACTAGTATTAATTTATTTCAAAAAAAGATTTTAAAAAGTTATTTTGACTTAACTAAGTTCACTGCAATTTCTAGAGGGCGTACGTTTTTTATGATAAAAAGTTTCTGAAGTTTAAATAATTGCTGCTATTTGCGGAGGACATTAATCTTTTATAATAGAAAGTTTCTCAAGTTTAAATAATTACTGCAATTTGCAGAGGATAAGAGTTTTTGACAATAGAAAGTTTTTCAGTTCTAAAAAATTGCTGCAATTTATAGAAGACGGAATTTTTAGAACTGAAGAGAGAGTTCTTGTAAAGAAAATTAGTTCATTTTCTTAGTGACATGCTTTCTTTTAATATAGAGTTCATTGCTTTAAAAGATTCGATTGAATACGTAGAACATATAGCTTGTTAATAACGAATATTTATTATCAACAGGGTGTGGGTGTGCGTGTATTATTTATTAGTCGCTCACACCCATATCCTCAAGGTCACCCTTAAATAAAGATTAATACTCAAATCTCTGTGATCTATGTCAAAAACTAGATCTAATTAAAATGGTGAATATTATTTTCAAGGAATTAAAATAAATACTTGTTGACTTGGCAATCGAAGAATGATAGGACGATATTCCTATGAAACTCGATTGATTTTTTTTCTCATATTTTAATTGAGTGATATAAATGAAAGATGATTCAGAATGAAAGCTTATTTAATATCCTTACTACAAATATATGACTAAGTATTTTATAAAACAAAGAAAATTCTTTATTTGAGTCAGAAATATTTGAAAATAAATAATCTTTTTCTTCCAATGATATATAAATTGTTTTTTTGCTTATTTAAATATATCAACTTTTGATATTTTAATCATCTTATTAATTGTTTTATTTCAATAATTAACTAAGCACGTTTTTTACATGAGGAAAATAGGTATCACAAAGTTTCGGATATCTCCAATACTGAGAAATTATAAGATATGTCAATTTCCTACAATTGACTCGAGTTGCATTATTTGTAAAATTATGTGTCACTCTTTGTAGACATTCATAATGGATTTGAAGCATAATATTATTCAATAGACACGTTTTTGTATCGAGCAGAAATTGCTCGGCGTAATCATCATGTATAGCGTGGAGAGACAGTCCAGTAAGATGAGGATATTCAACGATTGACAAATATTGATTATCATTGTTTGAGTTTTGACAATTTTTGTAATTTTGTGGCTCCTCATTTGATATACACAACTTCTTTAGAAGTGGAAATGCTTTAGAAAGTCGAATCAAAAAATTCGTGTTCAAAAGGACGTTCATCAAATAGCGATATTTCTTCAACGCATTTGAATAATCCACCTGGAAAATTATTTGTTATATGATCGTAACGCTTCAGTCTGTAAGGATGTGAGTATATATGACATAGACTCTTTTCTTCTTTTGGAAAATAATCCACAGAGGAACTTATTTTATAGTAACTGAAATTTTTGAATGTACATTGAACATCTTCATTTGATGTGTGACACATTAAATCGTTAATGTTTATGAATGAATAAATATTAAATAATAATTTATTTAATCTTGGTAATTGGTTGATAATGTCTTTTTTCAAATGATTACCATCGATAAATGATGTGTAACGGTAGAGCACAAGATATAAAGTTAATCTTTCAAGATTTGACATTCGATGTAAAAGTGGCAAGATTAATTCATCATAATCACTTGTTCCACGATTAGAACTCAACGAAAAACATTTCGAATTAGGCAACTCTCTCTAGAAAAATAAAATAATATTATCTAGTCAGAATTGTAGAAGATAAAGCAGATATTTGCTTTTTTTCTAAACTAACCTACTTTATTATCGATTATTGACGATGGATTCATCAGATCGCTGGAAATGATAGAAATTCTAAGATAGAATGAACGAAGTTGATCGAAACGACCATCGAGTAAATAAAGGCAATCGCCGAAACGAGCCACATTTACATGCAATTCCACCAGAGTTGAAGAAGAAAAAGTTGTAGGTGTAGAAACATTCTGACGATCAATGTCAATACATGTAAACTTATTCAAATTTAAATAAGTTAGATTTGTAAACACAGTAAATATACGAGTAAGCAGAGTCGTTATCACTTTTTCTTTGTAAGATTGTTCTTTGTATTCATAAACTGTCATAACAAGTCGAGAAATCTGATTTTTGAAGATGCGAACTAGATCAGATTTATCTTAACAAAAAATACAAAATAATTGAGAAAACACATAAATATACTATTAATCAATCATAACTAAGGATGCAACGATAGTGGTGGATCGTCGTACCAGTGCACTGGTCTACAGTTTAGATATACACACATTAACTAAAGGTGAACATCTCATAAAATTACGATCATCTTAGATTTAAATTCGATTTCTCTGGTCACAATACTATTTATCGAAAATAATACTTTTTTTTTATAAAACTTGATTAAAGATTGGTGAAGTTGAGGAATCCAAATTTATAAATGGTTTATCGAAATTGTCGAGTTCGATTTTGTTCCTTGGGAAAAGGATTATTTATCACGATTTAGGCAAGTTCTATACAATGCAACTAGTCTCTTGAAATAGATCTACTCTAATCGAAAAAAATCGAACCCAAGAATTTCAACAAATCATTTATAGATTCGAATTGCTTGACCTCAGAAACCTTCAGTCAAATTTTATAAGTCGTCATTTTCGATATTTTTCCATTGACCAAAACAAAAATTCGAAAGCAGATCTAAGATCAATGTAATTTCATCACGCAATTCCTGTCTTCACCGTTAATCAATACATTTACCTCTAGACCGATGCACTGACACGGTTGCATATCTAATCATAACTCTCATTCTTTTCATATTTTTTAACAAATCTCAATGATGCGTTATATACTAAGATTTCAACAAAGGAACAATCAGGAACGATGGACTTGTACAAAATCGTGCACAGTAGTGATCAAATTGGATTTTAATCGATATTTCTAGTGAAATTTCAACTATACCTCAGACATAAATATACTCTTTGCTATCATCTGACAATTTATTAAAAGTCGTGGATGAAGTGCTTTGTCTCTTTGATTATATTACAAGACCTTTTTTCTCTTGATATTTCTCGTTCTACCAATTTTACTCTCATTCATATTTAAAGCCGTACAAAAGTGCAGGATTGACTTTTTTGTAAAATGCTCAATGATGTACTGAGTCACATTTTTAAATTAATAAAATGGCTTATGATGATAATATCTGAAAGAAAAAGAAGCGAAGTCGGATTCTTACCACTAAAGAGACGTAGAGTGGCATCATAATTAATTTGGTAAAGACCCAATCCATATAAATTAGGATAATCGGAAGCATGAAGAACACGTCCCACAGATAATAATTCGAGATTGAGCCATTCGATATTATGATGAATTTGAGGCAATATTTGAGAACAAAACCGATCAACCATAATATCAGCCAAAGGATGGAAAAGTTTATTTGATGACGATCTCATTAACGTTAAATGACTAGTAAACATTGGATGACGTAGAATTTTATCGAGCCGTGTGTTAATACCCATTAAAGAATTGAGCATTTCGACATTATTTAATTCCTCAAAAATAATCAGAAGTATTTCGTCAGATAAATCCATCAATTGAACGAATGAACGTTTCATATGCATATTCATTTGTCAATTCGTCTTAGTGCAATTATAACAATAACTTTATATATATATATATTGAACTGTCCTATTGCTTGTCGTCGTCAGCAAAAATAGTGGGACATTTTTCGGGGTCCAATAGACTGAAGAAATTAGCGCTGAATTAAGAAATGTGATTGGCATTGCCACTTGGAAACATCAATCACACATCTTAATGCAGCTTCAATTTTTTCAGTCTATTTGACCCCTCTTTGTCTAAATCAGCGATTCAATGAATGAAAGATGCTGTTTTTCTCTTATCGGCTAAAAATATAGAGTATGAAAAAAAAAGTAATGTAGAAAGATAGTAATAAGGAGGCGATACATTGTTTAAAAAAAGTTTACTACCAATGAAAATAAAGTCCATTTTCTCTGTCTCATATGCAAAGAAAAATGCCTTGAAATATCTCGAAGTTAATGAAGGAAACATTATGATATTAAAGTGAAATTCACCGAAAAAAGATTAATTAATGCTCGACAAAAGTTTTGGCCCTATTGAATGAAATGAATATTTTCTTGTTTTTGGCATATAGAATCAAAATCCAGCATATCCATGTAGAGAGGAGTTAGGAACAACTAACTAAAGCAGAATTTTAAAATTCGACTGTCAGACTAAATGTCACCAGAAATTATTTGATGAATAACTGTGCTAGAAGTGAAGATAAATTCAATGTATTATATATGAATCTATTCGTTGTTCCAGGAACTATCAACTAACTATGCGCTGCTTCTAGATTGTACTGTTTAATTAGAAAACTAGTGGAAAAGAACAGATATCGTATTCTATCTTGTGTTTTTTGTAAACCTTTACTAAACTTTCAAAATTCGTTCTTGTATAAATGTTTTGCCTTCAAATGACATCATAGGCAGATTCAGAGATGCTTTGTATATCATTCTGAAAGACTTGTCGAACTCTGACAAATGACAAATCGCATTTATATTTGAGTATTGCACATAACAGTTTTCTACTTATAATCCTAAGAATTCTAGCGTATCTCGATTATGTTAACAGTGGTAGTCGAGATTGTTTTTTTCATAATATACTTGTGACTTGGTTTTTATTACGAGCATTGAAATTTACCCATTCACCTAAAGTTCGTATATATATGTTGGAGGGCAAATTAAAATTTTTTGTATTTTTTATATAATTTTCGATTTTTCTGAAATAGGTAAAAATAAATATTCGTCTTGAGGTCTGAACAGGAATGTTTGTGCGAATGTCCATCATCTCTGTGAGTGTAGCTGTACAAAATCAGTTTGAATGCACAATATAAGTGCGGGTGAGGGTGAGGATGAGGGTATGATTAGTACGGGCTCACATTCTTCCACACTCACACCCACACCCACATATAGACCTACATCCATCCACACCATCGCACAAACAGTACATTTTTACCTATTTCAGAAAAATCGAAAATTACATAAAAAATACAAAAAAATTTAATTTACTCTAGGTGAGATTAAAATTTTAATTTGCCCTAAGGGAATTTTAGATTGCACTGGATTTTAATTTACCCTCTAACATATATGTTACATTTGACATGAGAATTTAGTTGAGATTGGAATAATAGGTTTAATTAAAGATAGAGAAAATAGACACAAAAGAGAGCGAAAAAAAGAAAAGAAAAGAAGAAAACAATTTCGAAAATCAAAATGCAAATAAAATTATATGAACGATATGGAAATTTTTTTCTAAGAGTTATATTTAGCAAACTATTTTCTAATTGATCATAATTTAGATTTCGTTTTTGAATTGGTGACCAAGATAAAAGAAAANAAAAAAATTTACTTTCCTTCCATATCATTCAATATAAAAACTCGTTCCATTCCCATCCCACCTGCTCGAGATCCGTACTTTGAAATAACGATAGCGAAACTCTCTTTCCGTCTTTTCTTCGAATATAGAACAAAAGAAAAAAACCAATGTCCCTATGTCCCGAGTATTAAAACAAACATCTTTTCAGAATCTTTCTCATTTTTCTCTCTTCGATCATGAAAGATAGACACAATTAATCTTGGAAACAAAAACGTGTTTTTGAATCTACATACTCAATCAAAATATCTCATATCATTCACTAATAAAATTTTATTTCTATGAATCACTCTCTCATAACATTTATAGAATAATCAACAATTCCAATCTCAACTAGATTCTAAACTCTACTGCCGCATATATTTTTGAAAAAAAGTTCTCTGCGTCGTATTATATAGTTTAGAAAGCGCTACCCCCTCTAAAAATTCCTGGATCCGCCACTGCCTCTAATTTATTACTTGATTGAGTACCAAATGTTTTCTTTTGATTTCAGATGGTCACCGTACAAGTCTTTCTTTATTTGCTCAGCTGAGAGGGCATGGAGATGAGCAATAAGTTCTAGAGATTCATCATCTTCATCTAATGCATTAAGAGCTGCAGCTGGATGCTTTTGTATTTTAATATAGCGATGTTCAAGAAGACCATTATGTCTAGAGCGATTAACTGTTCGAATATTCAATCGATTCATGATTTTTTAAGCATCTATTAAATTTAATCTTTTTTTTTATTATTGTTTTGATTACAGAAAAATTTCAATTTATTTGTTTTCAAATTTTTAAAAATATATTATAGCTGTGAATACAGTTTCCAGAAAATTTACTCTTAACAATCAATTTATATGCTATCGTGAACATATTAAAATTAAAAAGACGCTCACATTACATTACTAGTGATTCACTAATAGTTGATACACATTATTATATTACAATAGCTATTTCCAATCCATAAGCATCGAATGAGATTATTGGATGATGGTAAAAAAAAGGATTCGTTGTTTGATTGACTTATTACTCCTAGCTGCAGTGAGCATTATTTCTGAATCAGTGTTTCTCATGGCAAGTGTGCACAGTAGAAGGAAAATGTACAGAACATCTGCTAGTTTTTATTTACACTCTGCTATACACTTGCCCAGAAAAACAAAGTGTACAATGTAAACTTTACTAAAATAGTTGACACTCTGATTTCTTTGATCTCTGAACCTTAAAAGCCGCATATAGTTTTAAATAAATTAAGTATGATATTTTTTTTGTTCGCTAATGATCAAAATGTTTGTTTCATGAGATAAAAAATGGCTAAAATTATATTTTGTTTTCTAAATTGTGAAAATTGGACTTTTGTACATTTTGAGACACTTTGCTGAAAAAGATCAAGTGTAATGTACATTTTGCTCATAAAAAACAGAATGTACTGTACATTTTGTTTTAGATTTCCATTGGAAAGACTATTTCTGGTGCTCACATGTTGTGCTCACTTCACTAACCGTTTTCAGTGCGTGTATTAAATAATAAATATTATTTGAGTTACATCAACAGAACGAAATGGTCATGTTTTATTTCTAGTTGAATAGTTTCATTCATAGAAACATTTTTTATCTTCTTTTTTATTCATTTATAAATTGACTTGTTTTTTCTGTCTTCACATAGAAGAATATAGAATTTATTTTGATAAATGTAATTGGTATTCTCTGAACTTTTGTATATCGACTCAACAGTTTATATTCATGTCGAAGAATTAATACTAAAGCTGCAATAATCGATCAAGCCGATTAAACGTAAAGACAAGCGCATTGCTGACAGTGCTAGTACGCCATCAAATATTTCATATAAGGCAGAGTGATCATCAATATTAAACGAACTACAATAACAACATCGGTCCAATTAGCTTTAGTGCGTCGTTGTTACAAACAAAAGGAAAAAAATAGAAAAAAAGAATGAGAAAAAAATAGCGTCTTATTATTCCTTTTTTTCCTCTTTTTTTATTTTGTATTGAAAACCCAGCAAGCGAGAGAAGTAACATGCACATGACATCCCGTCCGTCGGCTTGCTTATTCGATGACTAGTCGTATAGTTCTATAAAGAGTGAGAGAAAGAAAAGCTTGCTGTTACTAATTCTGCTTCTACTATTATTATTAATATTGAGCATAGTGCTTCTAGCTCATACAATACAGACCGGAGATTATCAACGCATAACGCATAGGAAAAGCAGTAGCATCAGTAAAATGATCAAGATACAAAGAATAAGACAACTGCCCTTTTCCTTCTCTTCTTCGTCCGTCTTATAATTGTGTTTGGTACATTTCGCTCTTCATCGTCGTGTCGTGATCCATCGACTTAACGACACGTCACACGCACAAAAATCGTTTGAATAGATAGAGCGATAAACAAGAAGCTTTATTTTTTCTTTATTTGTCCCCTATCCAAAGTAAGTAGACATTATTTTCGTGCTACGCATAACAAAGTTCATCAATATCTTTTCCGTTTTTCTGTTATATATAAATTAACTACAATAAACGAGAAAATAATATTCCTGTTTAACATGCTAGGAGAAGCCAACAAAAAATAAAGAGAAAAAGAAAAAAGAAAAGACAGGAAAGTAACTATTTGATCTATGATGAGACAGGAAAATCATATTTGTTTGATTTAAGCAGATGACTGTTTAATCAGATGTTTTATGAAGTTGCGGAAGAATGATTTCTTTTATTCATATAGACATTTGCATCGAGTATGATAGATAATTTCCATTATGGTGAAATTCGTGTTCAATAAAACTAACAGAATGCATCGCATGATTTCTATTATATTTTGTTTTCTGCATAACTGACATTTAAGCCAAACATAGTCGCTGTTGATCGAAAAGAAAATGCACCGTTCTCTATAATCCGAATATACAATTATATTGAGCTATTATTACACATCGCAATTATTCGTATTCGACCAATAAATAGATTCGAGCAAATTGGCGTGTGCTAGTAATCGAAGTAGTAATAGCAACAACAAAACAGAAGTAGTAAAAAGTCCTTGATAAGTATATTATTTTGCTTCTTAAGTAAAAATCATCATATTTTGATCTAAATGGTACTGATGAGTATATATCGTAAAAACAATTTGTTTCTCAGCAAATACAGCTGGGGTTATCTTACTAATATCCGTTGGCATCAGAACTATCTATTAGATACTATTAAAAAAAGATCTATAATTGCAACAAAAAACGACTTGTATTATACAGAAGAAGAAGAAGGAAAAAAAAGAGAATATATATATATATTTATTTATGGACGGATGCATGTAGATTTCCTTCTAATTTTCTTTCTGTTGTTGTGTAATGGTATCATGAACAATATTTCTCTTGTATGTAGTTCGGATGTTGATTCTTGCACTCCTATTTTTCTGTCTGATCTTTTTCTAATATGATGATTCTTGCATGTGAATGCTTGCGTGCATACAATAAGGGTGTTCGACCTACAAAGAGAAGGTAGAGAAGAATGAGAAAAAAAAACTAAAAAGAGGAATCTCAATAGTTCTCTAGCAATAAATGTGTTACCCGATGGGAATCCGCTTGAGCGAAATAAGACGAGGTAAGACATGAAGAAATACTCGTACTTTTTGTTTTCTTGCTATCTAAGAATTATAGAATTTCTATTACCGATGCATTGACTGAAAACACAGACAAAAAGAATCGCAATCGAATCGAAGTTTTTCTTTTGATCGTAGTTTTAATATGTAAAAATAACAATCGATATTTTTCTCAAATCTGCGCAAACCAAGGAGGGCAAACATTAAATGAGAAACAATATGCAACCCGGAATGTTATTTGTTTTTGTATTGCAAATGACAAATTGTGCTTTGTTTCTTTGTGAATTGATTCAGTAGATTCAAAGAAATTCTTAATGATGTATTTTGTTTTTAGGATGTCAAAATGGGCAATGCCGAATCGTCTCAATCGACCGAACGCGGTGGTATCGGCGGTTTTAATGTTCAATCTTCATTTCGTAGACAGTCGCCTAATGTTGCGCGTTTAATACGTGGTGAAAATTCGCAAAAAATGGAATATGAATTTCCCATATCAGACGTTAATACGACGAATTTAGGACGTTATTCACATCGTAGTGGAGAAACTAATAATCATATGATAATAAGCGGAAAAACTAATCGTCAAATATCTGAACGGCAAATAAATCGTAATGATAATCTTTTATCAAAAAGCAAGACTTCTTCAAATGAAACACCTAGTTTATGGTTATCATTAACAAGTTGTTTCGGTTGTCGTACACGGGATTCAAGATCTTCAACTATGAATCCATTACGTGATAAAGTACATGCAATACGTATCGTTCGAGCATCAAACGATTTAACACCAGCTGTATTCGATTCACATTACAATATTATAACACTTGAGCAATTACGTGAATGTGAAAATAATGGAGCTGGAGCCCTAGGCAATACATATGATCCAACAAATCCTAATGCTATTGAAGCATCTCATAATGGTAATGGAACAATATCAGCAACAAAAAAGGAAAGCAGTTGCCGAACGAGAAAAAAGAAGAAAAAACGAGCAGCTGCTGCTGCCTATGCTGCTCGAACAATGCCTCCAGAAGATGATGACACATATGAAACGACGCAAGACAAAGGCAAATGAGCAACTACTGGTCAGTTACTCGTTTTAATTTAGTCAGAAAATATACGTTTTTATTTAGTGTGATGATAATTGGTTAATACCCGTGCAATTGAGTCTAGTATGTGGCAATATTCGTTTTTTTTCGTTTTGTATGATTTCTCTTGCTTTCTTTTTATTTTGAAAATTTTGTGTTCAATTTAAATGTGTTTTTTCTTGGCTTTTTTTTTCGTTTTCCTTTTCTTGTTTTTTCTCTCACTGTTTCATGCATATTGTATTTATCGAGTAAGGACTATGAATGAAAAATCGGACTATAATTTTTACTTGAAAAAAACAAAAATCATACAGAAATGAAAAACATATTTTTTCATTTATATTCACGCACAAAAGTTTTTCTTTGATCTAACAAAGTCGGAATTTCACGCATTCATTATTTTTGAAGAATAGAAGAAGGGCAACTGAGACATGTGCAGAAAGCTATGTAGCGATTAAAGCTCTATACTTATAGTAATTAAAAACAAAAAAGTATTACTGGATAATCTCAATACAAATCAGAGAAAAATATTTCTATGAGTTGATGTTCTGCTTCAATGATTAAGAAATATCACTTAGTAAACGTTGATAAAAGAATTAATGTTTTGTTTCGTGAAGTCAATTTCACGTTTTTTGTGATTAAACATCATGCGATTGCAATGCAACGATTTAAACTGCTTCGCTCATACTAAATGATTGCAACATTGTCGCGGATAAGCAATAAAGCAAAAGACTTTTTCGTATGGATTAAGTCGTATTTGCATGTTTAATATAAATAAAAGGAACAAGAAAGTTTTTTATCGGAAGCATTGATTTTATTTACTGAAGCATTGATTTTGTTTACTGAAGCATTGAACCATTTTCCATATTGAATAAGTTAGTATTCATTTTATTATTATAAAATAAAAATAAATAAAAAGTGATCTTTTTAAAATTATTTCTTTGGTATGAGAGGACTGAATGGCAATGCCTTAATACTAAATTAAGATTATTGATGAAGAGTGTATCTAGATAAACCATAGCTTACATATTTCTTTCTTTTTATTTTTACAAAGTGCGTATATGCTATGTTAACTTCGGCTATTCATCTTTGTTCGATGCGCGTTCATTTGTATGAGTAATCACAAATGAAAGTCAGATCTCTTGAGATAACGATCGAATAATTGCAAATCATGTAGAAACAGGAGATCGAGTTATTTTTATTAATGAAGATTTTTATTGAGTGCTGTTCAACTGTAATAATAACTGATTTCAATTTTTCAGAAAATTCCTAACACACTAAATCGCACTATTGTTAATAAAATGTACAGTAGAAAGTTTCAAACAAATTCATAATTTTAAAATTTTCTCTTATTTTAAAACATTTCATGGGTAGCTAAATGAATCGTTTTGACATCATTGAATTATAGAATATTTCTGTAAATATGCTCCAGCGAAGCAAAACATGAACACGACGAACAATGGTGTAGGTGTCAACTGTAATGAAAAATTTTATATAATTTGAAAATATAATTTTAATTAGTATTATTAGAGTTGTCGTTCTATAAATTCTCCGTTGCTGTTTTTTTTTGAAGAAAAATAGAAATATTATATTTAACAAATGACTACAGCATTGTTGTACTTGATGCCGAAGTTGTTATGTATCGTAAGGAAATAACATTTTCCTCTTAAGTATTTCATAAGTGACTTATTGTCGAATGTTAATGGATTTTCTTTTTATCATATATTTCAGACAATATGAATATGAAGATCATTATATGATATTCTGTAAAGAAGAATATAAGCTAAATTTGATTGTCAATAAAAGCTTTGCCTTTAGACTTTGATTCGAAATAAACACGTGCTTTCCACATCGAGAAAAACGGAGATATTTTTTTTTAAATCAATTTTAACAAGAATGAAAAATTTCGCAATTATTCTCATTTTCCTATGTTTGTCTATCTTTTGTTTTCAGATTTAATGTGTATTCGTAATTTCTATAGAAAATTGCCATTTTTTTTCACATAATTTATTTATCAGACGGCGCGTGAAAGATTTTTCTTGAAATTCTTTTAAATAAATGAAACCTCAATTTATGAGAGACGAACTTCAACTGATTTAAATCTTTGGCTACAAGTTGGCCCGTTTGAGATGGAGAAAAAAAAGTAGGAAGCCTTGCTACTGAGAACTCTTTGTTCTTGAGAAATGTTTGAAAAAGTGAGACTGCCTTTTCGATTATTATCTATCTAATATTAGAGCAATACTATGTTTATTTCCAGTGAACCTATAAGATTGAAATCCTATTAATAAATAAATGCCATTCATTAAATGTCTAAATATGTCTAGTTACTCTATCTTCTAAAACTCATTAATTTTTCTTGATATTTACATATAGGCAGATATTTAAATTTTCGTCGTGGGAATTTTCAATATTGACAAACTTTGCGTTGTAATCGATTCTTGTGTATGTTATGAAGATAAGTTTTCAACTCGTTGTTTGATCTATTATTAATTGTGCCGGAAGTTGTGATTTTTTTGTCACTTGATTATCAATTTTTAATATCACTATGTTATTTATTTTTCTCATCTTTGACTTAACTATAACATCACTTTTTTCTTTCTTTAATAACTTAAAGATATTATTAGAGACTAGAATTCAGCTAGTGCGAATTTTATTTTTAGTCTCAAATTATTTCGAATGATTAATAAAACACTTTTATTTTATCGACACGTTAAAATAAATTTCAAAAACGAAAAATGTTCAAAAGAAATAATCTTTAACTTTTTACGTTACTTTTTTCAACTCGATTTATACTTCGAAGATAAAAGTCAGTTTAATCAAATTGTTTTAAACTGTTTTGAATGCGAGCTTTAAAATATGACTACACATGAAAGAACTTTTTGTCTAATATTTTCACAATTATCGTCATAGACATCCAACTAACTTTCTCTCGCGCATTGTTTATACAATTGCAAAATACTCACAGTCGACTGAAAACATCGTGCAAATACAGGAGAGCGCATAATTAATCCGCCTACATTTATCTAGAGAAAGGTTATATGTCTGAAGATGAAGCAGTTCTCATCATAACAATATAGCCGATTGCTTCATCAACTATTCGATATATCAAGAATTTATTTAGACACATGTTATGAATGTAAATTTGGTTCGCTCTCAGTATAGAAATCGATATGTTATACGTTGTCAACAAGTATGTATTTAAACATGAATTAAAAGAAATGATAATATTTTTGAAAAACATATTTAATAGCTATACAGTGAATGTAATTCACAAATCAATAAACAAGTGTATGCGCTACAGTTACCATCTCGTCGTGCTCAATCTATATTTTCATTCTATGATAATTATGTCGAAAATGAACATGAACGTTCTCGATCAAAATGGACAACAGTTCGACGACGTTTACCAGATATTCTTGCACTCAGTCCGACCTATAAGCCGAAAAGTGTTCGAGCTCAACTCTTTTTACTTATGGCATTAATGAATCGACAATCGAATGAACTACATCAATCAAGTGATAATAAATCGGATTTTGAATTAGCATGTGCTCCGCAAAGCGTTATTATTAATATCGGTGGTCATAATCGGCTAATTCATTTAAAACTTATTCCACCACAACAAATGATACACGTCGATGTTGGTGATCTTACATTTTCAATTCCAACACGACAATTTATCACAGCTATAAGTCGCGGTGATGCATATCAAGCAGCTTCGAAAATATGTCCACCGGCTATAACGGATATGCTCATTAATTTATCGAAAACAAAAGTTGCCGATGATGGTATACAATATCAACGAATACTACTTCGAATGCGAATTGGTAAAATATTGTTTTTCTCTCTATTTGCATTTATTATTGGAATGATGTTGATACTTATGCTAAGTACTATGGATGTACTACTGAAGATGCGTTGAATCAATTCTATTATTTCAAATATGTCGATTCGATCTATTTTCATCAAACATATGAACCGCTGTATTTTAGAAAATATGGTCACATTGTTTTTGATTCTATTTTGTGTCTTTTTATAACTTAAATAGTTTTTCTTTTTATTATTCAGTTCGTTTCATCTGTGTTTAATGATGTTAAAGGGTGATGCATTAAGATAGTATGCTTGGAATAGAATGCGATTTTATTTTTAGTTGCTTATTTCTTAGACTAATGTTTTAAAAAAAGGCAACAGTCTGACTATTATCTCAGTGTTATTTTTTCTGTTGATCACGCCATCATTTTCCTGTTATTCAATATCAATCGTGATTTGAGTGTGAAGCAGAAAGCATTCATTTATCTTGTTGCAGTCTTGGAATAGGTAGGCTAAAGAATTGCGGAATGTTTGAACCAACGGGAAAAGTAAAATTTTTATCTATGAACAGAATAGAAAGATTCTCTATTGATGACGTTCAATAATTGAATTAACTTCTTAAACTTTATAGCTAACATATTTGAATACTGGTTAGCATGCCCTCGGGATTTGGTTCTCGGAAAAAATGTCCCTGAAATTTCATCCTTGAAAAAATGTCTTTCGTCGTTGGAGATGCACCAATTTATATTCCAACCCATTTCGACCAACTCTAAAAATTGAAATTGCTGAGAATTGAAATTGATGTATCTTATCCCTATTCATCGTGAAGGGTGAGTGTGGGGTGTGGTTGCGGGTCTGGTATTACTATATTCTTGTTCAAAGTTACAACGCACACCCACACCCTCTAACGCCATATTTTTAGACTTGGGCAGCCGTGCTCTCACACACACGCAACGATCAAAGTACAGAATTGCTGAACAACGAATCAAAAAGCTATATGATCGGTTCAGCAGTACCCAGATTACACTGCGAGATCTATTACATGGACTTTCTTTTTTGTCGCGAATGAAAATAAGATGTTTAATCCGTTATAATAAACTAAACTGCATTTCTAACATTATCAACTGCCATTGCTTTTATTTTACTGAAAGGACATTTTGATCATGGATGACATCTTTTTCGAAGGACTAAATTAGAAAGGGCCATTTTTCGAGGACAGTTTTTACCAAGGACATTTTGCCTAAAGGACTTTTCCCCAGAGATCAAATCCCAGGAGCATTTCGTAAAGGTCATTTTTGCAAGGACATTCTAGACTGTTACCACATATTTTATAAGAATTTTATCAATAAATGATATTTTTTAAAGCTTTACTTACTACATTTACATAATCGAATCCTTCTCAAGACGATCATTCCGACCGTCGGAACGGGCATCTTAAAAGACCTGAAACGACTATAAAACGGCCATCGTTTTTAACATTTTCCGAGCTGATGGAAAACGGCGCCGCTTTCCAACGTTTTATACCGTTTCAGGGTGTTTACGTACCGTTTTTTTGGACATGGGTTATGGAAATTTTTCTATCACAAAAATGAACGTGCTAATTGTTAAATGGCAAATATTGTGTATTCTTGAATGAAAATTGTTCTATATTATTCAGCGTTTTGCCTTTGCGGGCAATCATATCGTTGAGTGCTTCCGGAGACTTTCAACTGTTTTTTTTTCTAGCGAAGACTCCCAAAAGAATGTGGACAATTCTCCTTGATACATAGTAAATAAAAAAAGAATAAAATAGGTTTTCGGAAGTTTCATAATTAAAACTATGCATTGAATATTTTTTTTATTTAGTCGTATAAAATGTTGACCAATAATCAACCACCAGCAGGCGGACCTCGCCATAATTATATTCGCTTAGGATTTCTTGTGGGCACACTACTTCTATTCATTGTTCATATTTTGGTTAATGAGTTTTTTGGAAATGGAAATTGTCGTAAGTTTATCGAACTTGAATATACGAATTTTGATTATTTTACATTGTAGATCCACCTGGAAATGGAACAATACACGCTGAAGCTTTACTTGCCAATGATATAACTCCATCGGACTGGGTTTATCGAAGTTTAAATGGATTGAATTATATATGGCAGGTAGAATTTTATTTTTGATTTTATTTGACATAAAAGGAAATCGAAAATACTTTTCAGCTTTCTTGGCTTTTGTATTCATTAACATTTATTTATCGACGATCATCAACTGCTTATCTATATGTGTCACCAAGTACATTATCGCCAATGTTTTACATTATATATAATTTAGCCTTTCTGATTCCAACCATATGGATTGTATGGTTTCAAAAAAGTCATTCAGTTGTAAAAAAGAACCATAATTTTTCGGTTGTCTCATGGAGAAAAGTTTTACATTTTAGTGGACTTGGGTGGTGTATTTAGTTTCATTTTTATTATTATCCTTTGATCTATTTATTATCAATAATAATTTGGTGATGAATGAGAAAATTTATGAAACTGATGGATTGTAAGTGACAGAATAGAGCGAATGTTTAGCAGTCGTTGTATTTTTTAGTAAGCGGGATATTTGGATTCTACGATTTTTTGCTCAAAATGGTGTCGCATTCTTTGCTTGCTGGACAGGTATGCAATTTATTATTAATACTAAAACATCAGTCCTTCAAATAAGAGTTAATATAAGATAAAATTGAATCATTCAATTTTACTTTCCTTAAAACTGAAATAGTTAACGGTCATATTGTATGTCTAATTGATTTAGAACTTGTCTTTTTTTAGCTGTTCGATTTGTTGTTTCATTTGATACGTTTCTTCAAATACGACTTACTTTATCAATTGTCAATGCTGGTACAATTGCACTAGTTTTAGCAGGAATTATCGCTTTCGCATATTTCTTTGGACCAAATCTTAATGCAGCTCTTGTAGAAAAATGTGCTTATCAATTTGCTCCATGGATTGTTTTCCTCATTTTCTTCTGGGGTATTGTTGAAGGCAACTGGCATTTCAAATATATTAAGAGAAATTTTGTTATTGGTCTACTGGAATTTTTAGCGAGTTTAATTTCCGCTATCATTGCTTTGGCTTTATTTAGTATGCGTTATCGAGCGTCGAAAAGGAATCCAATCCCTTAAAATTTTCTCGCATCTATTGACTTAAAAAAAAAGAATGGGCATGTCCGGTTATCGAAATATTTCATTTGTCTATATTTATGTGATTTGTTTTTCTATTAATAAATTCTATTTATTCTTACTTAATAAAAAAGAGGTGATGCAAAGAATGAAAGATGTTTTTTATTCTGATTAGGATCATATCTGTTTTTACAATAAGGTTTTCAGTAGAATAGTTTATATTGTTCGTGATGATGATGATGATGATGATTTTATGTACTGAATATCCATAGATAGATGGGTATTGGTATTGGTGTTCATCTTTTATTTAACCACGTCAAATTTGTTCTAGTAAACTAGTCTTCCATGAATTCATTGTTGAATATTTAATCAAGCGAAAAAATATGAATGGTACAGTGATTCGTCAAGCATTTGCTATTTTATTCAAATAATACATACAATTTAGACCATTGATTTATTTTACCGATAAGACAGTTACATCAAACTGTTTTACAAGCAGTAGTGCTCACAAATGACTTTTTAAATAAAAACAAAAGATCAAGAACTAAACGTGGTTGTAATTCATCGAGAAATTACATGAACCAGACACAATGAAATGTAAAAATATACTGAAGCAATAAAATATGTTATTCGAATCTCAATGTCTAATTCATCGAATATATTTGCCGCTATCCAACTATCGTTCTAAAAATAAAACGTTTCAATAGAATAATTGTATAAGATCATAGCAGTAAAAGAAACTATTTCGATTGTTCCAGTCAGAAGTATTATCAAGTTATTGAAATAATATCAATGTTTACACGGGAATCAGTCAATAGAAGTTTTAACCATGTATGCCGAAAAAAGATGAATACTTCTATTACGTAAAAAGAAACGTAGGATTGAACATCGTGTTTACATGATTTTAACTGCAAATGTTGTCTCATGCTATTCCTGTTTTTTTTTTATCGCAAGACGAATGAATGTCTTATGTAGTAGTTAGTTAGAATTGTATAAAATACTCATGCGATCAATACATCAAGCGCTTTTACTGTAAATTCAATGCATCACAAAATCTAGGAAACATCTATTACAATGTTCAGTAGCATTATATTTGTATCTTTGAACGACACTGTAACACATATCCTAGAACGAGTGTCTACCACTTGATAACGAAAAAGTCAATTTCAATACACTTTTGTGACGACCACACGTTTTTTTAAATCACATCTCGATGAAAATACTTTCGCCTATTGAATAGGAAAAGCACGGATGAACTGTAGATAATAGAAACTCCTATAAAGTAGCTGATTATATGCTCAGCTCGGAGCGACAAGATCTATTTAGAATGATTGGCTAAGTCTTTAGCTCATGTCTTATACCTATCTCCTAGCATTTTGATTTACGAAAGAATCAGAAGAAAAAAACTTCGTTGTTTCAGCTTACTTTTATTGGATAAGACGACTGCGGTATAATCGCAATAACATGGCATACCCTACGACAGTTCTGTGAAACTGCCATGCAAACAGTGGCGGCGCGACCGGGGGGGGGGGGGGCCGGCGGCCGTTGAAAAAAATTACCACAAATTTAGACCATTTTTAAAA